TTTCTATAGGACCAAATCAAATTAACATAAATCCTAATTTTCTTCAGCCAAACTGCTTTATATAAATCAGTATTTCTCTTTTCAAGCAACAGTAATGCTAAATATCAGAGGAGCAAAAGCAACTCCCACACAACTTCAGATAAGCATGGTAGTTCCCTGAATGCCTTAGAAAGGATGGGGGAAACAGCTCCAAGTTTACACTTTGATAACTGCAGGAAGGAGAAAACAAAACATCTCCTCAAGGAAAATCTTCAGTTGATGTTTTCCTGAACGTCGGAAAGCCTATCTCAAATTACACATTCACCAGTGTAATACTGGTAGATATATGTACTGAACAATTGTTCCCCTGAGTTCTTACTGCATACATTGAAACAAAAAAAGGGTAACTAACTTAGTAACACGGACACTGACCGTTCATCTACAACAGAAGTTTGGTTTTTTAAGGAATAWTGCAGTAAAAACATTAAGATTAATCTATGTGAGAGTTTAGTGTTCAGCATTATTTCAAGTTTAATGGAAGTACACATATTCCTCCTCCAGCTCTCCTAGGTCTTAGTAGGCCAACAAATCAGATCAACTCCTGCCTTTAATCATTTGATCCACTGCAAGTTTCGGGGTTAATTTCTTAACACAGTTTATGAACAAAAACAACTCTAAGGAGAATAGAATTATTTTCTTAAACTCCACAAGTGTATGAATCATTAAACAAACATCTTTGAAAAAGACACAACCCAGCAGGCCTGCTACAAATACACACTTCCTTCAATATTAACACGGAAAGTTGGGATGACCGAACATAGCACTGGAAATCCATGCGTCTGGATTWAGGCAGCACTGCAGTGAGCAGCACTCACTGCACTTTAAAAGTGAACAGGATTTATCAAAACAGAATTCTCTCTTGTTCCTCTGTTGGGAACTTTACCGGCTTTATCAGGCTCGGCGGTGTTATCTGCTCCCGGAAATATGACAACCAAAACTAGCTGGAATGTCTCATGCACCAGACTAAAAGCCAAAAGGGTAAGAGAAATGGAGCTGCAATAAAAGGGAGTCTTAGAGAAACAGAGTTAAAAAAAAAAAAACAAAACAAAACAAAGCACCTGCGTGATACACATATGTCCATAAAACTGAAAGAGCTTTCAGACAAAAATCCTAACAGCTCCTTTATCAGGAGCAGAGAGGAAGGCAGGTAGCAGAAAGATGTTAACTCTCTAAGCCAGTGGCAAAAACATGTTGGAGCACAGTTTTATTCTGTTTGCTCCTCCCTCACATCTCTACRACCCCCCAGTGGCAGGTGTTTGAAGACATGCTCATTAATCCAATTAGATATATTTATATTTTTGACTTAGCTGCCAACATCTGCTATCGCAGATATCCTACCATTCCCCGCTGCAAAATCTGCTCAATTTTCCTTTAAATATGTTCCACCAACAAGTAGCTTTTCAGCTGCTGGGCACAGGTGGCTCCTAGTGTGTCCTGGATACCATCTACAAGTGTCTTTAGTATTGCCTTGCAACAAATTTTGCAAGAAGTCAGTAAAATTCAGTACGGATACTTGGAGAATATTTTAAAGTTCAATATCTTTGAAAACAACAGGAAAGAACCTAACCTTTTCTGGCTAAAGAGGGAGTTAACGGTGCAAAAAAAGTCAGGCCACAACCTGACTTGGTGTGCTTAGGATTTCAGTGAAATGAAGTAGGAATTGCAGAATTATTTAGGACCATGGCTTATAATGTTCACTGAAAAAACATGCACAAAAAAACCCCAACTAACATAGTGGCTGTGTCTGCTAACAAACTTCCTATAATTAAAGCAAGCGGGCAGCACAGCTATTATCCATGTAATTAGAAAAGCAAGACATGTCTATGGTATCCATCAATGATGCCATACAAAATAACAGGATCCCAAAACTTCACTCTATACACAAACATTGCATTTTTAATACAAGCCAAGTCAGTTAGCTTACCACATTGACTGCATTGCAATGCAGCAATTACAACCTAACTGCTATTTGCTAACATTTAAACGTTACACTGTTTTAATTCTATCAGTATAAAAGAAAATAAAATCACAGTGCTCTTTGCACTGAAACATCTTTGGTTGTTGATAAGTAAAACTTGTTTGTTTTGAAGCTTTGCTCAAAACTCCATGGCTGCTTTAATTTTTATTCTTCCATCCTCCAATTGCAAATTTAGCAGCTGCAGCAGCAGCTGGACAGTTCAGCAACTGTAAGGGACAGTTGCCAAGTTCTAGAAAACAGTTTCCTAGTAAAAGAATCTAGGGTCTGCAGCAAGTAGTTGTCATGGATTCCCCAATTACAGGATTTTACATGCGTTCCCCAATTACAGGATTTTACACTGCAACTTCGCACCAACTGGAGACTCAAAGCCGCCCTGTGCTTTTGCTGAACTCGTCAGGCAGATTAAAGATCCTCTTACAGTTGGTTCCTCTCTGCTTTAGTTTTGACTGGGAAAAGTTCTTTCACTGTTACAGGAAAACAGTGTTCTGTCAAATTATTTTACTAAATTCTCTATGTTGTCTCATTTGCTCTTTCCAGTATCAACACTTTCATTAAAAGGCAGGCCTTAAAAACAGACATTATTTAGAAATATATTTGGTTTGTTTTCKAACCAAAGACTAAAATCTTACCTGCAGAATCAGAGTCATAGAATCCTTAAGGTTGGAAGGGACCTTTAGAGATCATCTAGTTCAACCCCTCTGCACACGCAGGGTCACCTAGAGCACATGGCACAGGGCTGCGTCCAAGTGGTTTTGAAGATCTCCAGAGAAGGAGACTCCACAACCTCTCATCAGCCTGTTCTAGGGCTCTGTCACTCTCACTGTTAAGAAATTTTTCCTTAAGTTCCTGTGGAACTATTGGTGCTTCAGTTTGTGGCCCATAAGTGGCCCCCTTTAGTGGGGGGTCCATCAGTTTTATAAGACGATTGAACCTCAGTGGCCACCACTGAAAAAGAGGCCGGTCCCTCCTCCTCACTGCCTCCCCTGGGGTATTTATAGACACTGATCAGGTCCCCCCTCAGCCTCCTCTTCTCCAGGCTGAACAGGCCCAGCTCTCTCAGCCTTTGCTCATASGGCAGAYGTTCCAGGCCTCTGATCATTCTCGTAGCCCTGCGCTGGACTCTCTCCAGCAGCTCCACATCCCTCTTGTACTGGGGAGCCCAGAACTGGACRYAGTACTCCAGATGTGGCCTCACCAGGGCTGAGTAGAGGGGGATGATCACTTCCCTCGACCTGCTGGAGACGCTYTTCTTAATGCACCCCAGGATCCCGTTGGYCTTCTTGGCCACCAGGGCACACTGCTGCCTCATGGTCATCTTGTCATCCACCATGACACCCAGGTCCCTCTCTGCAGGRCTGCTCTCCAGCAGGTAAACCCCTAATCTGTACTGGTGTCCGGGGTTATTCCTTCCCAAGTGCAGGATCCTGCACTTGCCCCTGTTGAACTTCATGAGGTTTCTAACCGCCCAGTCCTCCAGTCTGTCCAGGTCCCTCTGGATGGCAGCACAGCCCTCAGGGCTATCAGCTACTCCACCCAGTTTGGTATCATCAGCAAACTTGCTGAGGGGGGGCACTCAGTCCCTTCATCCAGGTCGTTAATGAACAAATGGAACAGGATTGGACTGAGGACYGACCCCTGGGGGACACTGTTAACCACAGGCCTCCAACTGGACTCMRCACCACTGATTACTACTCTCTGAGCTCTGCCAGTTCTCAATCCACCTCCCCGTCCACTCATCTATCCCACACCTCTGGAGCTTGCCCAGGAGGAAGGTGTGAGGGAYGGTGCCAAAAGCCTTGCTGAAGTCCAGACAGACGACATCCACTGCTCTGAATGACCTAACTAAAATATGGAAATATTTTGACTTGGATCAAAACCCTGTCAGTCTATTTTTTTAGCGATTAGAAGGGGGGAAGAGGAAGGGGCAAACCCCTAACTTGTTTATGCTGATCCTTAGGGGTCATCTTAGCTTCCTGAAGTCATTTACAACTAGTATATGTTAGATAAGTCTAAAAATATCTCTAGACATTTACTGAGCTGAATTTATTAGGATAAGAATGCTTGCAGCTTCTGCAGCCTTTAATTGCAGTTGTTGCTCATGGAAAACAGCCTGCTTATTTCAGCATCTAACCATAGGCTGTATACCAACCCAGAAGAGTAGCTACTTGAAAATACTGGTCATGGTGCCCCATATTAAAATAAAATGATGAGAAGAATTGAACATTGCTGATTTCATGGCCTTTTTCCTCCTCATCTTCACAGTACATAAAGAATTTTACAAAATGGTTCAATCTGCAAAGTAGCAAAGAGAAACGTGCAAGGAAATCTCTTGCTGGAAGAGGATGTTTCAGGAAAAATTCTGGGTCTTGAATATAACTGAGCCAGGTCTCACTATTTCAGAAATGGTCTAAGAATCGCCATGTAGAAACAGGCTATAAACAAATGATTGCTGTAGGCAAGGAAGGACTTGAAACATGTTTAATCAAGGTTACAATAATTACAATCATTAACTGCAATGGTATGAAAATGCAGTACCCCTGAACTCCACTTGCTGCATCCTCCTCTTGCTGCAAACGTGCTGGCAGGGCACGTGTTCTACTTGATGACACACCGATTAATGATCGCTAACAGCAGAAATTGCTCCAGCACATGCATAAAAGCAGATTGTGCTGTAACCCCAGGAAGATGCCATGTGCTAGAAAGAGAAACACCTACAGCTGAAACCCTGCGAGTCTCAGGGAGGCTGGGGGGAAAGAATGGAGAAATTCGCACTTACCACCTGCACACTGCTGGTACCAGAACAAGCACCCCGTGACTCAAGAGGTTTTCACAGATGCTGGATTCCACCCACACGCGCTCCCAGCAAGAGAAGTGCAAAAAGCAGCAAAACAAGCACCAGACCCAGACATTTGCTGCAAATATCCACCCCAGGGGCCTGGGGGGCTCGGAGCTCTCCCTACCAAAGATGCAAAGTTGGTCTTACCGGAGGTGGAGGTGGTGGAGGGGGCCCTCCTGAAGGTGGTGGAGGTGGCGGAGGAGGCGGYGGCGGCGGCACAGGCATCCGTTGGGTTTATAGCTTCGCACACAGGGAAAAATACAACCCAACTCTGTGTCCTGGAGGGGAAGGAAGGGAGGAGAGAGAAAAAGGGGTGGGGGGAGAAACAAGAAGAAAGTGTTTATACAGTTTAAGCTGAAGAGCAGCCCAATTGCTGCTCTCGGCACGCTGAAGACTCTGTAGCACACTGCTTCCAAAACCACGGTACAAACAGGCTCGCTACAGTTAGCTGCTGACAACATTCAGCTAAAGAGCAAACTCACATATCTGGGCAGGTTCCATGCATAGCAAATGCATAGATACCAACCTGTCCAGCCTTAACTATGATGCTTCACGTTTATCCCATAGCCAGAAATGCAACTGCAGAGAGCAAATCTCTGCGAACCAAATATAGATGCTCCTGCGGGGGCAAAACCTCCATGGACTTTCAACCAGAGGACAGAGCAGGGGACTTTGTGAGGATCACTGGACTTACTCCCATGTAGGAAAAGCCAGATTAAAGTTTCAAGTATAGTACTATTTCCAAATGACAGCACATAAGGATCAGACATTTCAAGTATTTGAGTCAGATGTGCCATTTTTACTGCCATTTTTAAATGCTAACTTTTCACAGTTCCGTAGTAGGACACTGACTAAAAAGAGACTTGCCTCCCAAGAGAAGAGGAAGGCAACAGTTTATAAATAAGGACTGGTGCGTATCAATGTTCAGAAGCTGTGTAAATGCATCGGAAAYAGTATTAACCACATATTACTATTACATCATATAATGTTATGAACCCAAACCCAGGACTAAAATTCTGGTTTATTGCAGTTCCCTTTTGTAACACATGGCTCCTATCAGCTCTATTCCGGGAGCAGTGTGGATGGTCAGCCTGACTTTTCTTCCTACAGTCTATGAAGATCTTTGGATTCCGAGTGAATTTAGCTGAACTGCATTGTTTCAAAAAAGATTCAGTTCTACTCCATATAACATTATATTTAGGATTAGGATAATTATAGAAGCTCTAAGCCGGACCTATTTAAAGGTGCACGAATAGCCACTCAAGCTGTAGAGTGGCAATGATGCCATCCAAGACTCCTACTACCCATCCCACACTGGAAGCTATGTGACTACAAAAAGAGAATAAGCACCATTAACAATGATTTAGAAAGGAACTGCAGGAATCGATGACAGACTAACACACACATTATGATAAATCCTAAATGTCAGGTCAATCAATCTAGTCCCTGCCCTCTCCCTCCCGCCAACTCGCACATGCTTCTTTTTTCCCTTCATTAAGGAGCACAAGGTATATTCTGAAATGTCTTTTTAATACACAGAGCTTAATGATGTTACTGGCAAGGGTTGGAAAGCACGTAGTCCATACATTAATAAAAGCACTCATTTCAGTACTAAAGGTGCTGGAGTGAAATGAGGGGGAAAAAGGCAAGTGGATTTTGATAAAATGCATGAGGCAGCAGTTGTGTAAGCTGTGGAAAGTAAGWTAGGCTGAAAGGCCAGAAACAGCACAGTGTGAGCAAGGATGCAAGCTGTGCTAGAGGGCAACAGGCTGCGGCAGCCACAGAAGACTCCTGTAACATACGGTGGAAGAGGCCTCAAAGTCCACAGTCCAGCCCTTTCATCTCTGCCTACGGCAATTCACCTGCGCTTGTCCATCCTGCTCTTAAAACCCTTCAGGGAAGGAGATGCCACGTTCCAGGCTGCCTGTTCCACTACCCTTCCCATTGGAAAAGTTTTCTGTGTAGTTGAAGGTTTCTGATTCACTTTGGGCAAAAGCAAGAAYTGATATATAGAACGGGTTATCTCCTTTTTCTTTGCAGTGGTCTGCAACATTGAAGGCTTATACCTCTAGTTTTACATCCGTTGTGTCATGTTCTCTCCTTAGACTCCTCACAATGTCATGTGAGGCTGTCAAAAATCTTTATATGAACAATGAGCTGTTTTGTTTTKTTCTTTTTTCTTCAAAACAGATAGATCAGAAAAGTTATAAGGCACGTGTGGCCATCTCCCCTTCCCAGCGAACATAGTGAGCTAMGTCCTGGCAATATCTGCGCGTTTTCTCCTGCTCTATCTTGAACAATAATTTACTGGAGACCGATCCAAACTCGAGTCTGCAGAGCCTCTGCAACCTCTGCTTTCACCCATGGGAGAATGCCTGGCAAAGGACTGGTCCACCAGAGCACTCAGGATTTGCAACAGAATTGGTTGCAGTCACTTTAAAAATGGCTTAATGAAGCTTTCCAAGGAAGTCTCCAGCATCCCACTCCCCCTGCTGTCCTATGTAAAAAGCTATTATTGGAAGATATCTCTTTTCCTCAATTAAGTCATTCAAAAACATGGACATAAGGAGAATGAGTCTTCCCTGCTAATAATATCTTTAGGGACCATTTCTTCCTACCCTGCAATACAAGGCTTTTGTCTTCATTAAGGATTCGCACTGGGAAATATTCTCTTTGTCAAATGAACAGGAAGCAAAATGCAGCCCACGCTCCCGAGGCCGACYGCGTGCGCGGCAGCAGGAGGCACAGAGTGCCGTGGGAGAAGGGAAACGGGAACCAGGCCTTGGTATTTAGAAGCCACCGCTTGACACGCGAGCAGGGGACTTCTCTAGGAGGCTGTCTGGCCAGGCCAAACCCCAGCACCAGCTCCTCCAAGCAAAAGCTGCTCAAGTCCTAGGACCAGAAAATGYAGAGCCAACTACAACCATCTACAAGTGCATAGGGTCTATTATTATTATTATTCACTTGATGATGTAGCCCATTTACCTGACCTGACTGCTCYTGTCCGGGGACAAAGGAGTAGGGGGATGTTTAGGGGCTACAGCCCACTACACTTGGGTGAAATACTGTCCCATCTCCTGTAGTTGTCCAAATCCTTTGCAAATGAAACATCTACCCTTTCAGAAAAGGCCTCCTGTGAACCTTGGAGTGCTGACCTTTGCAGGCTCTTGTGCACACAGACACACTCACACTGTTTTGCAACTGGTCCTACCACGCTCTGAAGGTGATAACATCCCSTATCTACATAGTGAAAAAGCTTTTCACACAGAACAGCTCTGTTTGTTCAAGAGGACTTTGGAAGAAGAAGCCTTCTTCTTCACACAAGCAGATACTGATGGTAAAGAAAGCTCCTACATTGATAAAGACAGGCAGCTTCAAACAGCAAAACAAAACCTAAGAACCTACAATAAAAAGCAGGCTCCTAAAATGTGGTCAAAACTATATGATCTATGCATTTTAACAGGTAGGATTATTTTGTATTACAACTTGTTTTATGTACCTCTCCTACTTGCATAGAATTGGATTCAGCAGCTTCAGAACTAATTGGTAGAAAAAAAAAAAAAAGGAAAAATCCCCAACCCTGCCTTTTCCAGTCCACTACCCTACCAAAACAAGGTTGCACAATTTTTTTAGTGCTTTCTAACATCTAATTTTAGGTGTCCCAAATAATGTGGCTTGTACTATTTCCCTTGGTAAGCTCTTTCACAGTCAAATAGCTCCCATTATTCAACCTGCCTGACATTCAGCCTAATTTTTCCTTTTCTTAGTTTAATCCCACTTGTGCTCATGCAGATGACTGCGCCTCGTGTCAAGCAAAATAGTTCCTCCTCCCACCCCTCCCTATGAGCAGAATTACAGCTCTAAGGCACCAATTACACTTTTTGAGCTGCTTTAATTTCACATAAGTCACCCCAAAACCCACTGAACACTGTTCTTGTCCTCTCAACACTATTTGTCTTATTTTGTCCTCCAGATAAATGCTGATTCTAAAACCGAATGGCAATTTGAGCTGTCACCACACAGAGGGTTCCTTCCTGGCTTCTGCTGACTCCATTCGCTTGAATAACAGCTGAACCACTGAGCAGCTGGGAATATAGAAAGCAGGCCCCAAATATCCGAACGCCCAAATAAAGTCTTCATCCACATTTACATTCTGAAGTTCCCGACACTGCAGAGTAGGTGCAGATATTTCTTCTTTGCTGACTGGACTCGAGCTCACCTTACTCTCTCAGACACACACAAGCTCTAATCCAAAACCCCCCCAAAGCTGCTGTTTTGGGCTAAACCCTATCAGAGGTCCTATAGATACAGTCCTATAAGGGGCCCAGAGGCACCCTAAACAGCAGCAGCAGCTGGCCTGTCTCCTGCTCCCTTGACACCCAGCAGAACTAGGCTGAAATACCTCCATCCATCACAAAAAGGCAAGTAACAGCCGTACCTTCAGTCTGGAATGATGTCTGGAAGGGGGAAGGACAGAAGGAAAAAGTCACAGTTAAATGCACATACAAATGCACAGTAAGTAGTGCACAATTAGTTCTTAACAAGTAGCATTCTTTTTTTCTTTTTCTTTTTTTCAGTGGCTACAGACTTTATGTTTCCAGGTTTCGTTAAAATACAGCAACACACTTGGAACTGAAACTTCAACCTCTCTAACGGATTTGGAGAAAGGGCTGCAAAATAACTTACTTGCTATTAGTGGCTTAACAACCAGCACCACCTCTTCGCTCTGAGCTGGGTAATTCCATTTTGAGGAAATTTGTAGGTCTCTGCTTTATAATCAGCTATTTTGCAGACATACATGAGGGCTTACCKAAAATATCAACCTTATTTCCTGATTAAAAATTGAAGGAGACTGTTTCTAACTTTTGAACAGCTTTTAYATGTTAAAATATCATTTCCCCTTTAAATCTACTGAGTTTTACTCTTTAAGTCTTTGTCTAGGAGAAGTTTTAAGGTACATAGGAGAAACAGCATTAACAAGYATCTGCTCAGCTTTCATGGTCTGAAAAGCAGACAATGACACTAATTGTGCCCGCACTTGTTCCTGTCAAACATCGCTGCAGAACAGCTGAAATCACTGGTACAAGCACCACCTTACAAATGTTTTAAGGACRTTGTCACAGCTGTGGAGACAGAAGAGCAAAAACAAAAAAATGAAAAGAAAAACCCAACATATGTTACGCAGACAGATTAACTTCTCTCTCACTTCCACACAACTGAAACTGACTTCGAAACAGATTCCATTAGGAGTAAACCATTTTAATTCTGAAAAAAAAAC